TTAATATATTCACAAATAAATATCAATATACTATGACATTTAATAATAATCACTCACGAAGTGGCACCGAACTGTCACCAAACTGTCGAACTAACTCAATAATATTCGTTCGACCACATTCGATTTACATCATCGACCATCAATCAGACACGCATTTTTAAATATTCTTTAAATATATTTATACTACGAATATGATATTTATTAACCCCGCTCACGATGTACAAAGTGTCACCGAACTGTCACCGAACTGTCACAAAACTGTCACCAAAGTGTCACCAAACTGTCAAACACCGAACTAAACTCGATAAAACGTTCACACCTCTCATCAAAGCATCATCGACCGCCAATCAGACACGCGGTAAAATGGCAACAATACATGCGATACATATCGACTCAAAACGCTTATTTCACGCGTCTACATGAGTTTTTTTATATAGGAGTAGCACGCAGCGCGCGCTACGCGCGCGCCTTCCATATCCATTACCAATACACTTTTATTCTTTTTCCATTAAACATTTTTAATGGTATATACACGAATATATTTAATAATACTGAACAATATTATTACCTGATATTATATTTATTCTCCACCTTATGAATATCTGTTACAAACTTTTAGGTAGAGGGTTCAAAGTAGACCAACTTTTAATAAGGAATTCATGTCCGGAAACGTACCGTTTGCGAGCTGCAGACTAGAAATGTTGGTATGTTCAGTATTAGGAATAATTCTCATAATAACTTTATTTGCTTATGTTACGTCCAGACTCAAAGGAAGGGAGAGTCAGCGGGAGGGCGTAACTTACTTATCTCTAGACAACGCTAGACGATGCGTGTCCTAGAGTCGAACGAACGATACAGGGCCTTAGACAGTTCAACGACCGGAAGGGTCGCTCTTACTCTGTCCACGGGCCGTTCGGTCGGCGGTCCCCTTTCTGGTAAAGGAACTGAATCCTTATTACCCGGGACGGGACTCTGTGCGATTTCGGGTAATGCGAAGGAAGTCGGGTTAATAAATTGCTCGAATTTAAAATTTAACTTTACATTTATTCAAAAATTGGAAATGAATGATTTTAACAAAAAGAAAGATAAAATTTAACGAAAGAACATTTAATTTGATTTTTGAGAATCTTATTAATAAAAATACATTTTCTTAAATTCTAAAGTGTATTTGTGTTTGTGTGCGTGAATGTAGGTGAAGGAAAATTATATTCTCGCGGAATTATATTCAACCGGAATTAAAAGGGAAACTAAAATTTAAATTCCGGTTGGAAATGTACAATAAATAGTTCATAACAAAAAAAATAATTAAAAATAAATTATTAGAAAAATTGACCAGGGTTTTTCAGATGTTGCGGAGATTCAGGGAAGGTAGGTGGATATTCAGGGGAAGAAGGAGGAGTAAGATTTGCTGACTATTGAGAGGATACAGGGAAGGTAGGCGACGGGGAACGCTCTGGAGAAGAGGGGGGAGAATAATGAGGAGAGGAAGATGGAGGACAAGGTGGTAGGTTGTGTATTTTATGTGTACGTTTTTGTTTATTGTATATTTTAATTAGTCGATGAGCTTTTTGGTCAAAGAAGTCCTTATCTAAGTTAAATTTCTTATAGTCTATTGTGTAGTTAGGGTCCGCAGCCGCCCGATCCAATTCTTTTCTTAGTTGCCTATTCTGTCGGTTTCGCGACCCTTTGATGGTCGTGCACGTAGCTTGATTTAATATTTCCACTAAGGAAAGGGGGCCGTGACGAGTAATGATAATAATGAAATCGATAGTGAATAGATTCTTAATTCACGAAATAATTCTTGGAAGTTTTTCTTTAATTAATTGAATAATTCTAGATTTCAAGTCCGGATAATAAAGAAGGTGTAATTTTTATATTTTTATATGAAAATTTTTGGACGGCTTGGGAATAGAAAAAGTGACAAATGTAATCGGGAGTCACTCTGCGAAATACAGGTAACTCTCGATGACGGGCTAGGAGTCAAGAGTCGCTTTGTAAAATTCAGGTAACTCGTGACGACTGTCAGCAAGTCAGGAGTTACTCTGTGAAATACAGATAACTCATGACGATTGGTGGCAAGTCGGGAGTCACACTGTAAAATACAGGTAACCTGTGGTGTCTGGTAGGAAGTCGGGAGTCGCACAGTAAAATTCAGGTAACTCGTGACGACCGTCAGCAAGTCAGGAGTTACTCTGTGAAATACAGATAACTCATGACGATTGGTGGCAAGTCGGGAGTCACACTGTAAAATACAGGTAACTCGTGATGGCTAAAGTGAAGTAGAAAAAAAAAGGAGATTCGAGGTAATATTTCAAGGGAGGAAGAATGAGGATTAAGGAAAAGAAAATTATACAAAGACACAATCGAAATCTAAGTACGAATTGTTTAAACAAAAGTTTTATGGTTTCAAATGTACTTTACAATGGAATATCTGGATTTTTTAAAAATGGTAAATTTTTCGAAATACCCCCACCACTCAATATTTTTCTTTGATATTTTGAAAAAATTTTTAAATTATATTAAAGCTTATGTTACACCAAATTCAACCATGTATGATAAAGTTATGTTGCGGAAATTAATTCTTGAGAAATAAAATAAAAACGCACGCTACCTATACTCATCTTATTCGCTCGCTGTTTTTAACGATGGGGGATGCATCGTTACATATATATATATATATATATATCGTATCAAATTATATTTACATTGCGTAAACTATTTGCGTAAACTATTTTTCACTTTAATATCAGTCTGTCTATCAATGAAAGGCCGTAGCCGGGTAAGCACGGCTAATCTGCCCCCGCAGGTATAGAGCTTAAATCTTTTTCGTAAGTTACTATCGATGGAACTTACAATTTCCTAAAATATTAGTTTCCCAACTGCACGTGTTTAAGAGTAAAAAAATAATAATAATTTTTCGTAATTAATTTTTTTCTTGTAAACGGTTCAATGAATCGCTTTAAAAAATATATATGATGTAGGCACAAATGCAACATACAAAACAAAAAATTAGGGTCCAAATTCAAGAATAACAACATAGAAAAAAGAAATATTTTAACTTTAAAATTTTTTTTTCGATATCATAGGCGCTTGGTACAACCACCATTTTTTTAAATAATATTTTCGAGCAATAAACAACAACATATATTTTTTTAAAATCGATTAAATGGGTAGACGATAGTTAAATTAATTAAAGTAATTTTTTATATTTTTTTTTCTCATAAAGGTTTTGATGGATCATTTTCGGAAAAAAGTATCTTGTAGATCCAATTAAAGTACATTAAAAAAAAATTGAGATCAAAGTTGGATAATAATAACATTGTAAAAAAATATTTTAAATTTTCATAATTTTTTTTGACATCATAGACTGTTTCAACACATATCCGTTTTTAGTTTTATTTATTTAGCTATATTTTTTTTATATTAACGTCATCGCGTTAAAAAAAAAATATATATATATATATATCTTGCTTTAATTTTTTAACATCTACCCGTTGGATCAGTTTATAAAAAATATATGTTACAGATTGCTATCTAAAGATATTTGGAAAAAAACGGATATGTGTTGAAATAGTCTACGATGTCAAAAAAAAAATTATAAAAATCAAAAATATTTTTTTTACAATGTTATTATTATCCAACTTTGATCTCAATTTTTTTTTTAATGTGCTTTGATTGTATCTACAAGATACTTTTTTTCCAAAATGATCCATCAAATCCTTTATGAGAAAAAAAATATAAAAGATTACTTTAATTAATTTAACTATCGTCTACCCATTTGATCGATTTAAAAAATATATATGTTGTTGTTTATGGCTCAAAAATATTATTTAAAAAAAATGATAATTGTACCAAGCGCCTATGATATTGAAAAAAAAATTTTAAAGTTGAAATATTTTTTTTTCAATGTTGTTATTCTCGAATTTGGAACCTAATTTTTTGTTTCGTGTGTTGCAATTGTGCCCACAGCATATATATTTTTTAAAGCGGTTCATTGAACCGTTTACGAGAAAAAAATTAATTACGAAAAATTATTATTATTTTTTTACTTTTAAACACATGTAGTTGGGAGACTAATATTTTAGGAAATTGTAAGTTCCATCGATAGTAACTTACAAAAAAATTTTAAGCTCTATACCTGCTGGGGCAGATTGACCGTGCTTACCCGGCTACGGCCTTTGATCTTAAACATCATGCCATAATATTTATTGAAATGTTATCTTCATTTCGATATAAAAGCCATACGTTTCCGCATTTCACTCATAGTCTGACGTTATTTGAACAATTATTATGCGATTCAAGTTAACTGAAATTTAGTCTGATTGTGAGTTCCGAATTAAAGTTTTATAAATAAAATAAATCCAAGACATGTTTTCTTAAATTAACTCCTCGCGGAAGACGAACTCCTTGTGCTGGTGATAATACAACAATTTGTGTTAAAATGCCAAGAATAAATATAGCAAATGTTATAAATTTATTAATCACAACGTTTAACATTGCAAATTTTGGTGTCTCACCTGTTATCGCCATGAAGTTGAACTTCATAATACCATTTCCGATATAATAAAAAATGCTGTAAATGATGATGTTGAGATTGAATATGGGAAAATGGGAACTTGATTTTGACGATCCGTCGGAACCGCATGATGTACAATTTGTGGACGTGTATGATATTGATGCTGAAGAAGATAATTATGAAGACAAAGTTTGTATTGTGGATAACGAAGGTGGAAATGTAAACTTAAATTACAAAAGAAAAGCAGTTGAATTTTGGAACAGTGGAAAAAAAGGACATTTAGCTATTACTGCTGTACAGAATCGTTTTAGAAAGGTAAAATTTAATACAAACATAAGAAAAATATTATGAGTTGAACGAGCAGGTAGATGTGCATTGTGTATAAATAGTAGGTAACAAACGATAACGGAAACAGAAAGATATTTCAGACTTATGCATTTTTATGCATACTTACTTCTTTGCATATCTGCGTTAGTTCTTTAGTCTTTTTATTTTTGAATTAGGTTTTCTAAATATCAAACTTCTTTTCTTCTAGGTAAAATCTGTTTCGCAATTGCATAGATGGGAAGAAAATGTAATGCGCGGAGGGTCAAACAGGGACAAACTTGTATTTATTGCCGAGTATGTACTATCGCAATTCCAAGAAGCTATTGATAGAGGACCTATCATTCACGACATAGATTTGCGAAAATGGGCATTACAAGCAAAGGAGCAAATAGACTTTCCTTCATTTAGAGCAGGAAATTGGTTCCTTAGAGTTGAATATTTCATTCATCTGTTTGTTTTCCGTACGCACATGGTCTAGATTTCTAGTGTTCGAGGGTCTCTTATCTTTGTTTAAAATTTTCGAATCTTTGACGTGGGTCTTAGTCCCGGAATATTTATTGATCCGTCTCATAGTAGAAAAAAAATTGTATCGTTCTAAAAGATTAGTCTCGCCTAATGTAAGCAAATAAAGTTATTATGAGAATTATTCCTAATACTGAACATACCAACAGTTCCAGTCTGCAGTTCGCAAACGGTGCGTTTCCGGACATGAGTTCCTTATTAAAAGTCGATCTACTTTGAACCCTCTACATACCCTACAAGTTTGTAACAGGTATTCATTTACAGCCTGTATATATACAGGGTGAGTCTTTTTAATATTAATAGGCAAATATCTCAAAACCTGTAAGTTGTAGAAGGAAACTTTTTAGACAAAAGTTGTTTGGTTCTGAGAGGGAAAAGAGATAGGAATATTAGTTAGTTTAAAATAAAATAAAATTAAAATAAATAAAAGTTTCCTTCTAAAATTTACAGGTTTTAAGATATTTGCCTGTTAAGATTAAAAAGACTCACTCTGTATATATGACAGAGATATGTATATTAAACTAGATTGCTAATGTGTCACCATTGGAATAGGACGGCTTGTGTCCGATAAGATTTCCGGTGTATGAGAAAAAATGGTCGCCGCCGCTCGATTTTCTTGTTATGAACATCATGTGACGTATATACTAATCCTCTATTATTTTTTAAATTGATTAGTATTGTATATGCTGCTAATTAATTTTTTTATCAGAAACTTTCTGAATAATATTATCCATACAAGCACTGCATTTAACTATTTTGATTAATTGACCGACACACACCGACGCTGTAAGTACGACTCACACAAATGACACGCTTCACACACACAGGACTGCTGCCATTTTCTCTCATACAACCGGAAACCTCATGCGACACAAGTCCGAAGACCCAGTTAGCAATCTAGTTTAGTATAGACATCTGTGATATATTTTTATTTCTTGAATGAAAATTAGATTTGGGTTTGGTTAGTTTTTAGAGGGGTAGAGGCGCGAAGCCCCTCTTCCTCGCCTACGCATTTACTTAAATACTTAAATATACAATTACTATAAAATTAATGGTTCTTCAAATCTCGGAGAAGTTTAGATTATCGCATTTAATATTTGTTCTTATCATACAATTTAATTGTTAATAAATTTTAATAAACAACAAGCGACAACTAAAACTTCTTGGATATTATTCAGGATCATGACCTTGACAACATATGTCAAGGATAAGATCATTGGAGGTGCCTCCCCTAAACGGGAGTTTTACCATTTTTAGAAAAAAATATGGTATTATATAAAATAAAAAAAATATATTGAAACATTTCATGGTAACTTTTACCTTATTCTTACGTATTAAAAAATGCGCATCGTAATAACTAGAGATGAGAATTGAAAACATGTCAATTTATTATATGGAACTTGAGTTATAAACTATCTGGGAATAAAGAGAATATAGCATATTTGGCTTCATTTTTTCCTTATTATTTTTACATATAATCAAGTATTATGAATGGAATGTATGTGATAGAGTTAATGCTCCTCTCCTCTTCCCGATTATCACTTTGGGACTTCCCATACTGTGGAGCTATCGCTGCGCCTACTGTGCTTAACGTCACCGTGAACATCTAGAACGTCGCTCAGTTTGCTAAATCGTCTAGCCCAGCTTCCTCTACCAATGCTACCAGCTTCTCTCAAAACCGAAATCAAATCATCTTCGTCTTCCTTTCCCTTTATCTCTTTTTCGTACTTTTCCTCTTGTGCGATCAATCGTTCGCGTTGTAGTTGAGTCGCCAGAGAATGCGGTACGGCCGGTATAACATAGCTCATAATACCGGTAAGTGCGAAAACCTGTAAAAAAAATTATTCGCGTCACCTCGTCAATGAAAGGAACGTATTTATCGCATACTTACAACATGCTCAAAAACAACGACGAAGGCCAAACGTGCGGCGAAGACGTGCCAATATTGCGGACTAAGACCGTACGGTTCTTCGGGATCATCCGGACCATTTCTGTAGCCTCTGTATTGACATGTCTCCGGATGTTCGTCTTCTACGTCGCTTTTCATATCCTCGCGATAATGGGAAGTTTTGAATTCTGATAGAGAGCTATCGATATAACCCATTAGATCTTCAGTGGGAGAGTAAACAAATGCGTACACACTTCGTGGAATGAAATCGGAGGTATACGCGATAACAAAAGCCTAAAAAAAAAATATATATATATATTATATATTAATAAATCATTATATGTATATTGTATAGAGGATACATATATAATTTTGTATGATCATATATAATAATATTCGAAATTTGGCGCGATATAATCTTTTCTTATATAATCATATTTGGTCAGATCTGTTTTCACATATGATCAGATCTAGCCGAATATGATTATATAAAGATAAAATCATATTTCTTTAAATTTCGGACATTACTATACAGGGTGCTCTAAAAAGGTACGGCCAAAATTTAGGGAGATATTCCTCACACCTAAATAATAAAAAAATATTATATGAACATGGGTGCGGAAACGCTTTTTCCAGGAGTTATGTTGAAAATACTGTTGATTGTATTACTTACACAAGAAACAATTTAGGATTAAACATTGTGGACGACAATCGTTTAATCAGTAGGTTTATTTACATTTGTTTTTAAAGTGACCTTGAGTACGGTTACAACAACTGTTGAAAATGTCCATCATTCGCCCGAATACAAGCATTGACAAGTCGACGCATTGATTCATGGACACGTTCAAATATGCCTAGCGTATAGCGGACTGTTTCGCAGCCTGCAGTGATACGGTCATGAAGATCCTGAATATCGCGCACTGGTGTAGCATGTACGATTGTCTTTAAATGTCCCCACAAGTAAAAGTCTAGCGGATTGAAATCCGGGGAACGTGGAGGCCACGAAGTCGGTCCACCTCTTCCTATCCACCGGTCACCGTAAGTTTGATTTAGAAAATCACGAGCAATACGGCTGAAATGAGGGGGAGCTCCATCATGCATTAAGTACATGTTTTGTCTAATCATCAACGGAACATTGTCTAACAGAATAGGAAGATGATTTTCTAAGAAGTCTCTGTAAACAGGCCCTGTGAGATTCGGTAGAAGAAAATAGGTTCCTATTAAATAATCACCGATGATGACGGTCCATACATTGACAGAAAACTTTTGCTGGTGACGTGATGGAACGATTTCATACGGATTCTCATCTGCCCAGATGTGTTGATTGTGGAAATTAACAATCCCATCTCTGGTGAACTGTGCCTCATTCGTAAACAGCATTGCAGAAATAAAGTTAGGATTGGCATTCTCATGTATGAACCACTGGCAGAACGCATATCGTTGAGGAAAATCCGTTGGTAATAAGGCTTGAACACGCTGTACATGATATGGGTGCAAAAGTTGCTCATGCAATACATTCCAGACCATGGAACGAGTAACATTCCCGAGAATAGCAGCTATTCCTCTCGTGCTTGTTCCAGGATTTCGTTCGATTGCATCCAAAATAGCCTGCTCAACATCTGCAGTTCTCGTACTTCTTGGTCTTCCAGAGTTGAAAGTTGCTGTCTGAAACGTTCCGTGCTCTCGAAGACGACGATGAATTCCTTCAAACGTCTTTCTGTTTGGATAGCATCGTGTAGGATATCTTTGCTGGTATAAACGCTGCACGTTCCGGCCATTACCATCTGCCAAGCCATAAATGAAATACATGTCTGCAAGTTCCGCATTTGTGTACATAGCCATGGCTGTGATAAATTTGTACAATTACAATAAACCTTGTTTCACGCACGATCTACAGAATTGAACTGAAATGTGATCACAATGTTCTGCCGATTTCAAGGGATGCGTATATTGTTATTCAGCCACTACTATTGTCTAGATGTAAACAAGTAACCATAACATTAAAGATCAATATTTTTATGATTTCTGCCTGGCAGATAAGGTCACTACCTCATTTAGCCGTAACATCGCATACTCAGAAAAGAAACTTTGATTCCTGGAAAAAGCGTTTCCGCACCCATGTTCATATAACATTTTTTTATCTTTTAGGTATGAGGAATATCACCCTAAATTTTGGCCGTACCTTTTTAGAGCACCCTGTATATACAACCAGATCAAATCGTGCCAAATTTCCGATTTAATTATATATGGCCAGATTATATATTGCGTCAAATTTCGGATTTAATAATATCTCTAATAATATGTTCAAAAGAGGTCCAGAGAACATCCAGAGAATATTTTACATAACTTAACAGATTTAACGTCTTTTACACATACGTGCTGTTAGGAATACGATCTTATATAATTATACAAGTCTATTATTTCTCGGGATGTGTTATGAAATTATTATCAAATTATAGTAACTAACTTAATAGTATGTTTCGATTATTTTATTACTAGAAAACATGAAAAAAATTGGAATATAATTATAAATTTTATTTAAGACGAAACTGGACGGATTAGTTATGTCAAAAGTTAATAAATCTAATATTTCGAATTTTGTGAATTTAACCTTGCGCACAAAATACTTTTAGCCTTTTAAAATATAAAATTAATAATTAATTTGTGAGCGAAAGCAAAGCTTTATTCTATAGAATATAATTTAATTTAAAAATCGTTATTGTTATCTTATATCAAACTTTTTTATAGTGACTGTAACACAAAAATTTTATAGTAATTGTATATAAAAATTTACGAAAATAAAAATTTTGATTCTACAGGGCAATTCTTTACTTTAATTTAAATTAATTATTAATTTAAAATTTTAATAGGCTAAAGTGTTTTATGCTATGTCAAATTCATTAATTGAATCTCGAAATGTATTAGATTTATTAACTTTTGATGTAGCTGATTTCTCCAGTTCCTCCTTAAAATGATGACAAATAAATATAAATAATGGATGGAACAATGAACTCTCTTTATAAATAGACGGAATAATGGATTACACATTTTGTTCAAATTAATGACAAATAAATATAAAAAGCAAATGGAAAATATAAATATAAATATAAATATAAATATAAACATAAATATAAACATAAATACAAATATAAATATAAACATAAATATAAACATAAATATAAACATAAATATAAACATATACTCCGTCCAGCAAGAGAATAACCTCGGTCCGTGCATAGACAGGCAAAGTGGGGAGAACATGGCGAGGTACTCAATACCGTATACGTAGATACGGCTTCCTCGGGATAATTATTTCAGTTTAGAAAATTAAATGGATGAAATAATCTCGATTAATTTCAATGTGATATAAAATCGAAATCTTACACGCGATACGAAATTAAAATAAGGAATAATATGATAGGCAACTACAAGAGCAAGAGTTGTAATATATTTAAATTACACAGTCGGGGGACCTGTCACTTGTTGCTAGCACTGGCAAGCTGCACGAGCAATATGATGATATGGGGGCTTTCTATGCGTTTTGTAGGAGGAGACCTGCGCGAAACGGATGAGTTTTCGTCCAATCCGAGGTTATTCTCTCGCTGGACGATGTATAAATATAAATTAAATATAAATGTGGATGTAGATGTGGATGTGGATGTGGATGTGGATGTGGATGTAGATGTGGATGTGCATGTGGATGTGCATGTGGATGTGGATGTGCATGTGGATGTGGATGTAGATGTGGATGTAGATGTGGATGTAGGTGTGGATGTAGGTGTGGATGTAGGTGTGGATGTAGATGTGGATGTAGATGTAACTGTAGATGTAATTGTAAATATAAATGTAAATATAAATATAAATATAAATATAAATAAATAATGGAAAATAATTATAAATTTAGTTTAAAATGATGGTAAATCAATATAAATAATGGATTGTAAATTTTGTTTAGAATAATAAAAGTAGATAAAAAATAATGGATGGATATAAATGAAGGAAAATAATTATAAATTTCGTTCAAAATGATAAGTAAATAATGGATGAAATAATAAACTATAATAATGAATGAAATAATGGATGAAATAATAAACTATAAATTTTGTTTAAAACGATGGCAAATGAATAAAACACACACACACAAATTGCACACGGAGAAACGCGGTGTGTATGTATATTTTACAATTTTGATGCAATTTGCGATTCGCTCTTTTGTATGGAATTCTAGGAATTTCTGTATGTACATTTGATACGACTGCTACATAAGTAACACCCCTGAGAATGCCGAACCAGGCGCCGATATCCTCTACTCGCTCAGCCAACGGTCGTCGGGCCTCCTTCACCATTTTATACGCATCCAGTCTTATCTCGGCGATATTATTTAATAAAGCGAATAGCGGTGCCAACGGAAATGCCGCTACGAACAACGTTACAAATCCGTACTGCAAAACTATAAACAGACATTGCAGAAAGAAAAATTAAATATTCGCAAAAAAATATTTCTCCATAAAGTATACATAGTATATATAGAGTGTTTCAAAACAATCAAATGTTCTTTTAATAGAAGATTTTTTAATCATTTTTTCCTTGACTTTTTCCTTTGAGAATCAATTTTTCCTTAGGGAAAAAAGAAATCATTTTTTTGCAAGTTTTAAATTTCTTCTATTACATATCTTTATTATATCGTAATTAAGCCTTAAAGATTCTACTTAAAATTAATTAAAAAATGTAGTTTTGTAAACTTTTTGATTCCACAAAATTAAATTTGTGAAAAAAAAGTGTTTCTTTCTCGATCATTTATCGAAATTATTGATGATTCTTGGAAAAATTATCTTTAAAAAGAAGAAAAGTCTGTACCAAAGAATTTGCTATTAAAAGGACATTTGGTAGTTTTAGGATCCCTTGTGTGCATGCAAGAATAATTATACTCACTCATTTCTAAATATTCATCGAACAAAGCTAGTCTTCCCGGATCTTGAAGCTGATAATCTTTCTCCCAACATGTATATCTTCTATCGTGATTCTTTGTCGCCGCCACTTGTGTTCTCTTGCGCCACCAGTTCCACAATTTCGGCGATAGAATCTCGACAAAATTATTAAAGCATTGCTTACCGACCATTATAATCGCAAGTTGAATACAGACCTCTGAGAGGCAACCAGCGGGATCGCATACATCTGTCTTGATGCGATAAAATTCCGAGGATCTTGCGTCCGCGTCGCCAGGATGGACGAAAAATCTTCCCTGAAAATTAAGATCAATGGATATAAATTTTAAGATGTTTTCAGTACATGTATCATCTATTATTGTATTTCTACATATTTTACTTTGAAAAAAGCGATGTAAATCAAGGAGGAATAGAAATTGACGAATTCGAATAGAAAAATTTTGAACGTATAGCTGGCTTCGTATTCCGTTTGCGTTCTTGGATTCTCCAGATTGACCATCCATCCTGCCAATCGATGATATATCCGTGTAAGTATCATTATTATCACCAGATTAATGAGGGCGGCGGTCATGGAGGTGAATATCTTTGCGTGTCTTTTTAAGAAAGAACCACCGCCGCCGTAAAAGACGGCGACCAGCGAGATGCGATACACGATTGTCCCCAAGACCGCCCCGAGGACCACGCATATCTATGTGTAAATGTAAAAGGGAAGGAGAATAGTATAAAATTATGCAATAATACTGCGTATCGCGAAAAACGCGCGGAGATACGTGTGATGTAATTACCATGAAAAATACCATCGAGCCTGTGGCCAAACATCGTATGGCTTTAGACCAAGCGGGTAAATATGGTTCCCTCTCCTTTGTTACGGGATTTATACGGAACGTTTTAACGGACGCCTCGAATTCGGGCCTGGGCTCTTCGTCGTAATCGGCATTTTGGAGATCCCACTCCCAAACAATCACGGCTTGTCGTCGTTTCCAAAGCTCGAGAAACGTAGTAGCTGCTGGACAATACTATCAGATACAGAACAACAATCCAAATCGAAAAGTCCTGAACCATTGTTTGATCTGAGCTTTCTTTTCGTTGTTATATGATGTTAAGGTTAACTAATCAGCGCCTGTCTACAACGGAAAACAGAGAAGGTACGACGGGGATCGGAGTAGCGAGACGGCTTTCTGCTGTATAGACAGGCGCTGATTAGCTAACTTTAACATCACATAATAACGAAAAGAAAGCTCAGATCAAAAAATGGTTCAGGACTTTTCGATTTGAATTGTTGTTCTGTATCTGATAGTGTTGTCCATATGCGTTTGTTTAGTTACACCCTGTATACATATATTAAAACACTAATGTTAAAACACACAGACACACTGAATGCTAGAATGGAGAAGAAAATGTTTTCCCCTTTTTCGAGTCTTACCCCAGAAAGACATAAAAATGGCGAAGAAGACAGTCGCGGGATTATCGAATAGATAAGTCAATTTCGAAAATATACAGGAATCGCCGAGTTTCTGATAGGTACACACTTTATCACAAAGAGGACATAGAGTGATATTTCCTGAAAAGTTGCAATTGAATAAAATTACAAATATTAGTTAAGACGTTAAAATAGTGATGGAGTACGATTTCTTTTTCGATCATGCGAGATTCGAGGCAAATGCGATATATAAAGAAATTTACCAGCTATATTAAAGTCGCAAATCTCCTTGCTGGGTACGTTGTCCTTGCCCTCCATGCTCCCAAGACCATAAAAGAAGCACAAAAGTCCCACCACTGCCGGCGCATATAAGCATTTCGTATAAAATCCTAGCCACGCGAAGTAAAGAGCAACTTTCTCGCCAAAATATCGTCTTATTAACCATAACGGTTGTTTCTTGTACCTGAGAGCGTACGAAAAAACACAATTAATCTTAATGCAATATTAAGTACTTTAAATACTCGTATATATAGTACCATTGCGAGGGTCTTGCCCATATCAAATATAACAGATATCTATCGAGAATTTCTCCATTGCCCATAGATTTATTGTACGGACCCTCATGCAATGAAAAGCAATCGAGATACGTTCCATCTGCTAGAAGTCTGCGAATACCAGATTTCTCGTGGTTCTCGTCATATCTTGTTCGCAACAATATTTGCATCACTATTAATGATCTTTGAGCAGGCGTATAAGCATTATCTCTCTCCTTTACGATAAACCTTCAAAATTATATTAAATTCAACAGTAAAGTTTAATAACGATAACATTCTATTTCGCACGGTTTCTATAAAGGGTGTCCCAAAACCATTGGATGTTATTTGAATATTTACTTTGGCCAATTTGAAGACGATCTTTCCTCAGCAAGAATGTCGAGGTAAGTGATCATTTCTTGCAAGCTTCCAATTTTTGCTGTCATAATTGTCATAAAAATTATATATATACATATACATATGTATACATACACATATATACAGGATGTCCCAAAGCACCCTTGACAATGCTCCTGAGCAGGTAGAGGACAATAAACTGAATAGAAAAGTCCTGTACCATTTTTTTATATAACGCTTAAGGGGATGCACAACTCGTCTGTTTTACCGACCAAAAGATTATTATTTTGTACATCAAAATCTTTTTTTTAGTTGAATAGAATAATAAATCATTTTCCACGATTTAAGTTCACATCGAAACAAAGATGAGACTTCACGAGTTTATGTTAAAAACGAAGAAAAGCTAAAAAATTACAGTTTTTTTACCGGCTTCTTGCGTCAGGTCATAACAATATTTGCTAAATATAAAAGTTTTGTACATACAAACTGCAAAACTTTTATATTAAGCAAATATTAATTATTATGACCGGTAAAACAGGACAGTACGGCATCTTCTTAAGGATCCCCTTAATAAAGGAGTTATTATTGAGTAAAGTCTAGTCAATCAGCGCCGACTTTTAGCCGGACGCACGTCAGTAAGTACTCAAAAAGTACTTAATGAAAAAATACTTTATTATAGTGTTTTAGAAAGCTCTGAAGATGGGCTACAAGAATATGCAATAAAAAATCTAGTATTTCATTAAAAAAATTAAATGTGACCTTCATGTGACCTTCAAATAACTCTTCAAGGTCAAACCAATGGTATCATCTTATGGCCCCCTCGAAACCATACAACTTTTGTCTAAAACATTTTTGTCCTAAACGTATAGATTTTAAGATATTTCAATGGATACATTAAAATGGCCTACCCTGTATATACGGAGTGTTTCAGAAATAGATGGCCAAACTTTAAGAGCATACTCTATTCACTATGAGAATGAAAAAAAGTCATATAAACATATGTCCGGAAATGCTTCCTTTCCAAGTTATAAATATTTTTTATTTACATCGGACAATGCCTCGCATCGACATGTTTTATGAATTGTTGATTGGAAATGACCCATCGCTTAACCTGCACATTCTCCCTATTTAAACCCTTTGGATTTTTGTTTATGAGGACATTTTATTAAGACTCTCATTTATGATACTCCTGTTGCTACTGTAAAAATACTCCGAAATCGTATTATCGCTTCGTATGACAAAATATGAAATAGGGAAATTTTGAATGTCTTTGACAATTCATGCGACATTGATGCGAGACATACATGAATGCGGAAGGAAATCATTTCCAGTAATTTCTGTAATGAAATGTTCTTACAGTTTCAAATGTTCTTAAAGTCTGTTACAAATAAAAAATGTTTATAACTTAAAAAAAAAGCGTTTCCGCACCCATGTTTATGACTTTTTTTCATCCTCATAGTGAGTAGAATATGCTCTTAAAGTTTGGCCTGTATATGTATATATGTATGTATATAAAATACTATTTAAATAAACTAAGAGAAAAAATTGTCTTCAAATTGGCCAAAGAATCTGTTATTAAAAAAACATCTGCTGGTTTTTTGGAACACCTTATATATACAGGGTGTCCCGCCGGAAATAACAGGCATTACAAAAAATATTGTATGTATGGCATGTGCTGAGACAACGAACTACGTCGCGCATGAAGTTGCCGCATGAGCTGAAGCGAATGCGGCAACTTCATACTCGACATAATTTATTGTTTTCCATACTTGCCACACAAAATAATATTAATAAATTGACTGTCGTTTTAAGTGAAAACATCGCATAAACATAGTCTTATTTTATGCAATTTTTGTTTTTTTGCTATAACTTTGAAACAATCGACTTTAGGGCATATGTGTATTAAGACTTTTTGACTTAGAATGACAAAAAGAATACACAGTTTCAATGTGGACATCACGTTGCGGGACACCCTGTATATATGTATATTACTTCTCTTCGAGATCGCCGGAATCGATATAGTCGTAAAAGTACGGTTCCTCAGGATACTTTGTCGTGTCCCAAGTATGTATTGTACGTATCCATTGGACCCATAGTCTCCATCTCTCCAAGAACTTTGATGTTTCTTTGGCACCTGTACCCTGCTTTCAATTCGGATATCACATTTATAATACAAAATACAATACGAGTGGCTAGCTTTAAAAGAGACGTACCCAAGTCTTCATAGGGATGGTCTTGAATCTTTTTGTGGGTAGTTTCAGACCCATTACTTCCGCGTATTGCACCTTTATTTTCCAAGGTATATGTAATTTTAGGAAATATGTTTTTCCATCAAATGAATTCTCCTTCGGCTCCAGCTCCAGTTGCAGACCCTCTTTTAAAAGATTCTGTTGAAAGACCCGCCTCTGTTCTCTCCGACGAGCTTCTATTTCGGTCATGACTCCTTCGTTTTCTTCCTGGTAGACCAATACCATATCGATTCTTCGATGACCGTCGCTAAAAATTATCATATTGAGTCAAGTAATGGCGCCAAATAATTAGCGAATAATGCAGAAAGATATTAAACGGAAAGTATCAAAAGTGACCCATTATTTTGTTTTTAAGCTCGAGCTTAAAGTTTAACCTCTTCAAGGACGGATTTACGGATACCGGAAAAATTATTCCATATCATTTTTTTAAATTATATTTTTCCAACATATATTTATAATTATTAAACAAAACAGAAAAAATTGAATAATGTTTGAAACCTTTAAAAAAATAATATACACATATATCCAAAATATATCAATACATATACATATATCAATAAATATATATCAATACATATATTGATTATAACTATTTATGAAAAAATTTTATACATTAAAATTTTTGGTAAATATGCATATTAGGGGTTTTACACTCAATGACCTTGACCTTGACGATATATGTGAAGGTTATAATTCTGAGTAACATCGAAGAGGTTTCAACCATCGCTCGTTGTTTATTATTAACAATTAAATTGTACGATAAGAACAAGTATTAAATGCGATAATCTGAACTTCTCCCACATTTAAAGAATCATAAAATTTATATTAGTTGTATATTTAAGTATTTAAGTAAATGTGTGGGAGGGGAAAGGGCTCCATTCCGCCCCTTATATTCTCATTTAGCCAAAAAACTAACCAAACCCAAATTTTTATTCAAAAAATAGAAATTGGTTTGGGTTAGGTTAAAATTATTCGGGGTGGGGATGTAGGGGGAGGGACGGAGCCTGTCCCTCCTCCACGCATTTATTTAAATACTTAAATATACAACTAATATAAAATTCATGATTCTTTAAATCAGAAACGTTCAGATTATCGCATTTAATACTCGTTTTTATCGTACAATTTAATTGTTAATAATTTTGTAATAAACAACGAGCGACGATTGAAACCTCTTGGATGTTATTTAAAATCATAATCTTGACATATGTCGTCATTGGAGGTGAGTCCCTTAATATGCACATTTACCAAATTTTTTTTAATGTATACATATGTATCGATGTTCTTGAAGAAGTTAAAATAAAAATTTATATTTACAAATATTTATTATAGACTACTCTCTATTATATTGTATCACAATTTTGATAGTATGGTTTCAAACTTTTCTTTTAAGCAAATAGCTTTAAAAAAACAAAACCGAACGCAAATCAAAGTTTGAGAAATTAGTCCTTAAAACCGAAATACTTAATGAAAACTGTAGAACATGGTGAAAATATATAAATATACAGTGCAATAAATTCTTGAATTATATAAATTTCTCTTGATCTTGTACAATAAAATTGTATATTTTTTTATTTATAAAAGTAAAATTATTTTTACGGACATTTTCTTTATTTTTTTTTCAAAACTAAAATTTTTAATGCAAGACATTTTCGAGCGCGTGTGTCCGAGGCATATTTATTAAAAGAAAAAAAAACACTATAAAAAAATTAATACAGTCTATATCAACAAATGGTATCTATTTAGAAATCCCTACAAACATTTAGAATAATATAATTATCACAAAAAATATATTTATCGCTATTTATAGATTATGTAATTTACCAGAAAAAAGACAGAAGAAAATTTTGGCAAAACTGCAAAAATTCTATAAAAGCCGATTTAATACATAAACAAGTAACAAATGCACGAACCATAGATTTCTGATGAGTGAACTAATTAAGCACTAACCAAGTTCATATAAACTCTGATATCAGTATTTAATTGTTGAAAAATATAAATATGACGGTTTAGAAACAGAAAAAAGGAGACGTATACTAGGCTTTGAGGAGACGTATAGTAGTTTTCCTCTAAGAAATCGTTTAAAAAAAAACGACTTAATGTAATAATACCTCTTTTTCTCGCGCGCGTATATGTTTTTGCGTTAAGGATACCTAAAAATAAATGAGACTCGGAAATAAATGACTTTCCACATTCTCTACACTCGTGTCATTCGCTTATATGTGTTCACGCAACGATAGAAAAATAATAAGACAATCGCTAACGTTCCGCAGAATCGTATTAACCTCGTCATAACAGAAAGAAAAATAATAGAAAGAAGATGCCTTATATGTCCACCTATATATGCACCTATACATTCAAGCGCTTCACGAAGAAAATCTAAAATAACTCGTGACATATATGGCCGCAACTACTCACCGAAAATAAAGTGTCTCGGAATCGATTCCTGTTTCCGTTTCCTTCGCCGGCAATGAATTCCCGATGGTCTCGGCAAAATCCAGCGATACTGGCGTATCCGGTAACGAGGGGTTGACTTCCGGGGTAGCGGGTGCCGTGAGTTTAGGACCTTGCCCAATTTAAACAAAATTACCATAATCATGTGCACGGTTCTTTCCAAGTTGATTTAATTATTACCGCCTTTTTTATTACGTTAATAGTGTCGTATATTTAGGAAACTACTACAAAGGTATTCATGTATTCTCTCAATCGTCCATTCCAACGTGTCGTATTTTTTAACACGGACATTGTAGTTTTTTTTTAATTTTTGGTTTTTTATTTCAATTTTTAATTTCTCTACTTTTATTATATGCTAAATTGTTTCTCCTCAATAAACTTTATATTAATTGAAAACTTAACACAATCTAATATACATTTTTTGTTTTATATAATATATGTATATGTGTCTATATACAGCATGGCCCACCGAAAATGAAATAGGCACATTTTTTGGCAAAATTTTTAGGGTGAAATTAATCCCCCTTTTGGGATTGGAGTGAACGGAAATAGCCAATTAACATGTCCCCCTTGCAAAGAAAATTGACCTGTTCGAGCGTTTTTTGAACAAATGAGGTTAAATACCAGAAACACGCCTGTTTCGTTTTTGGTAAGCCACCCTGTATGTATAAGTATATAATGTGTGTGTATAATAAAAGGCTTCGATAATAACAGTTTCTATAAAAAAATATTAACGTTTAAAATCAACAAATTTGGAAAAATATAAATCTGTTTTTGTGATTCTGCAACTTTCTCTCTGTATATGAATAAAAATGCCAATTTTATTTATATATTATACAACGATCGATACTTATAAATATCGAGTGCGGATGATTAGAACCTGTTGCATCGATGGTAAATTTTCTCTAGAGTATTATTTTTTATTCGTATTATCTAAAAAAATATGAATAGAAATGTTTGTGAGAGACAATTAATATATATTGTAAAAATCTCTTTTTTAAAACTAGTGTTTCTTATTTTGAATTTGCTAAGTATTTGTAAGTACGAAGCGTACTTTTGCAAAAAGTGCAAAAAAAAATTTAAGAAATTGAAGCGTTTATATAGAATATTCTCTTATAACACCGCGAGCCAAGTCAAACGTTGCATTATTAATATCCGATATTCGTGACACGCTGACATTCGTACGCATATTGATCGTGGTTTACTGACATAGCTTTATTGCTATTATAGACGTTAGTTGCGCGTTTCCACGAGTTTCCTCCAGTTTTTTTATTCTTTTTATATACGTGTAGATCGTATCGCGTTACGTCCAGCAAATTCCGTTATTAAAACTCGAGACAAATGAAAATCTAAAATTAGTAGAGGCTAAAATTAGTTTGCATTATGTAAGGCGTGAAATTTAAAAAAAAACGCGAGGACTTCTGAAAAATGTTGATAACCGGTATGCTATACCAAGCGTATACTCGCGTTGATCTTATACATGGGACCTTGAAATAAGGTTCCGTCTGCATATACGAGCGTTTTAGTTTGTCATCAAATTCAATTCTCACCGAAGGCATCCTGCGCGATCAGAGTCGTTCCGGATGGATGGATCACGCTGGCTCTCGACAATTTCCTCTTGACACTTGCTGGCGTTCCTCCGTTTTTGTCGAGCTCATAAACGATCTCCCTATTCGAATAGAGGGAGCAGTTATATTCCGGCGATTTTGACCCGTTCTTCGTCGATGTCGACTTTGCTGAAGACGCACGAGAGGTGGTGTTTCCCGAACCGCTTGATTTTTCGTCGTTGAACTGATGCTCGACTGGGCTATTATCATCTGGATGAAGAAAGGCGCCCCAGCTACTGGGCCTTCGGCTGTGCTGAAATTATTCAGACGCTTATAGCTTTTAGCGGTGATCACGTTATCCTGTTCATATTCTCGTTTGTAATCAAAAAATCATTGCAATAAATCATTGCCTGAGTTTGTATCTTATAATTGCATCGACGATATTGTTAGTAAAAGATAAAAATAAGTTCGCGATAAACAAAATAGTCGGATGAAGTATATCTTAAGGGGATTAGGCAATCGTATTTATCGAAAATGAAGTTTTTGGGGGGAGATTTATTACACAGAAAAAGGTTTCTTTAAATTTAATATATCTATTTGTTTGACTTATATTTGTTTTGTTACAAAAACATAATTTTATGCGAAACATTATTTTGTTGAATAAAAATTTAATAGTTTTGTTGCATTAAACCATATTGATTGACGGAAAAATAACTATTATTTGGAGTAGTATAGTTTATTCGCTTACCGCTATGCGCCGCACTAAACTCGTATTCAAGTTTCTGTCATAAGCGTATATGAATAAGGCCTGCAAAATGCGACTAATAATATTTAACAACTGTTTCTATCAGTTTCATTTCTGATACGATTTCAATAGAGGAGAATTCAGATAATGAACTGATTTTTGGAAAGACGGGACAGACAAATGTCCAATATTCACTTATTCGGATAGAAATTCCGAATAAGTAAAGTTAAGTTTTTCTACATGCTATGACCCTAAGATGCTTCAAAGATTTGATTAAAAAGATGCAGTAACATATAATTTAACTTTATCCTAACTTATTCTAAGATTTATTTAAATTGTTAAAAGCAACACAATGAATCTTTTGAATAAAAGTAGAATATTGTTTGAAAGAATAATATAATTGGTTTAAGTTGAAGAAAAAGTGAAATTGATTAAAAAAATATTTTATTTAAAGTAAATAAATACGTTATTTAAAAATCAAACAATTATATTTGTTACTTCAAACAGTTGGATTATATTATATTTCTTTGGTTTCAACAAAATTTATTAAATACAAAAGAACTTTGTACAAAAATTTGTTCTCTGTACAAAAATTTGTTCTGTGTACAAAAAAATGAATTAAAATCGAGAATTGTCCTTTAACAAAATGTTTATTAGGATCATAAACTATAAAAAAAGTTTTTTTTTTAGTTGAAAATATGCATTAAAAATGGCGCTGCAGATGGCTGATCGAAAAGAATTTTTAAATAAGTTTTGCAGTGATATCTCAAATACAGAAGCTCAAACCGATTTGGAAAAAATTGAGCATGTTCACAACATGTATAATTTTGGACTGAATCTCTAAAAAGTTTGTACAATCTTTAGTTCTTGAGAAAAAAAATCAAACAGCTTTTTTTCAACGAAAAACGAATTTCAAAAAAAATCGCCATTTTATAGCCGCCATTTTAATAATTTTGTTCTGATTTTTTTTACAGGTTCAGTGTAGAAAATAATATATTTTAAAGAATATTTTACAAGGAGGTCACTGTATTTTTTATTTCAAGTAAAAATTGCTGCAAAACTTATTTAAAAATCCTTTTCGATCAGCCATCTGCAGCGCTATTTTTAATGCATATTTTCAACTAAAAAAATTTTTTTTTATAATTTATGATTCTAATAAACATTTTGTTAAAGGACAGTTCACGATTCTAATTCATTTTTTTTTGTGATAAATCCCCAAAAAGGACTTTATTTTCAACAAATTGCCTAATCCCCTTAATCGTTTTCAAAGATCAAAAATCAATGTATGTTCTCGTTAGCGTTAGCATTACGTGGCCAAGAGTACGGTATTACACTGAATAAATATTGTAGCTTGGACTCGATAATATATATAAAAATTTAAGATATATAAAAGCATTTTTTTCTCATAACTCTCTTAATAGGTGAGAGGTATCGTGATATAAAGTATTTAGATATATTATTAAGATATGTGTTTCTTAAATGCTTTGCATTATTCTTCATTTTTTTTATGTTCGCGCTTTACACTTTTAATGTATTTTACACGCATATACATACATACATATATACATACATACGTACATATGTACATACATTTGTATGTGTGTGTGTGTGTGTGTGTGTGGATATGTATACACATAATTTTTATTGTAACACATTATTTTAGAGACACTTGCAATAAACTGATAAAGAAAAAGATAAAAATTTATTGGTTTCACGCAAGCTACAACTTACAATAAGTAATTACAATAGACTTTTTCTTTGTAAAGAATGCAAGATTACTTTGAGAGTTTTTAAAATAAAATGATATAATTTCCTTTTTTCCTAATATTGCATGTGCATACATGTGTGCATGTTTGTAAAAAAAAAATATATATATATATATATGTATATGAAACATTAAACGATAACTCATTATGAGAAATATTCTCAGATGCGCGGGATGCAAAACCGATTTTTGGTACGGTGTTAAGTATACCTGGCTGTCATCGTCTACTTGCAATTTGTTATCATCCATGTTGATCTCTTCGAGTCCCTTTTAAGATACGCAAAAGCAGATCGGAAG